TTTTATACAAATTATCAAATTGTTTGATTTTTTCTTTCTTATTAAAAACTAACTGTTTACGATATTTATTTACATTACATTTTTTTACTTTATGTAAATTTGAATTACAAATGAAACAAAGAGATAATATCATAAGAACTATCCTAATTGTGATTTCCTCTATTAATTTCATTGTACTGTGCTGATGTTTCTGTATTTCTTCTTCTAGATCCAATGAAATAATCACATAATTTTTTCTTTCATATCCTTCTTTAATTCTTGAAATATAGATTGTATGACCTTTGATATCTTTAACAATTTGTTTAATATCCAATGCTGTTATTCCTCTAGGTAACTGAATTAACTTTACTACCCATTTATCTCTATTATTTAATTCTTCGTAACTAGTATTACCTGATATAATTCTTAAACAATTTATTCTAATTCAAATCAACTATTCTGTTGATAATTTTTCTGTAACTTCCATGTTTTCAACTTCTACGTGACCTAATTGTCACATGTCTTTTGTTATTAAATGTAATTGTTTCACTTTTTCAAAATGATTAAGATATAATATCAAATTATTTCTCTTTATATATTGAGAAATATCCCAAATTTTTCATTTGTATAATTTATTATATTCATTAGATAACTGTTCTACTACATCTTGCATAAAAATGTAATTTTCAGTATTCCCTAGATCTACTTTTTTTGCTTTTTGTACTTCTTCTTTATTTAAAAGATATATTACTATATTTTTAATTTTATTGGTTATTTCAATTTTTCCAAGAATCACTTCAATTTGATTTTGAAAAAAGAAATTTTTAACCATGAGAATTTTTACAAAAGGTGATTTTCCCTTAATTTTTTTCACTTAAACAGAAACTTAAAAAGTTTTATATCAGTTTCTTTATACTAGATTTTAGGAAAGATATTTTTAGGTTTCTTCACAAATACTTTTTTAACTCTATCATTTTTATTCTTTTTACTTTTTACTGTTTCAAATTTTTTCTCAATATATAAGTCATTATCCTCTTCGCTATCTGAAATTTCTTTGTATTTTAATTCTACCACAAATAAAATACTTGATCCTGGTTTAACAAAATTACTAATATTTATTTCTGTTTCTTCTTCAAATGACTCTCTAACAACTCTTTTTTTACTTATGTGTACTGTTACCAAAGGTACCTTTATTTTTTCTTCTATATTCATAGTTGTAATATTCTCATTTTGTATGTTGATAGCTATAAGAATAAAATTCATATTTTCCTCATTTTCTTGGTTGTTGTTATCATCTTGTTGACCAGAAATACTTCTGGTATTGTATTTATGTTTTTTCTTACCCATACGAGTAAAAAAAATAGAAAAATAACTAAGTTTTATATATAACTACAGTGAAAAATTGTATTTCTCTACTGTGGAAATATTTGGTACAAGTGATTGATAAGAAGAGTTCTTTTAGAAATAAAAAATAATTCAAATTATCTAATGATTAGAATCATTTTTATTCTGTTACTACTTCTACTATTTACATAAATATTATTATAAATGTTATTATAATTACTTAATAAAATATAATAAGATAAAATAAAACAAAGAGATAAAATATCAAATGTTGTTATCTTAAAATATACCATCCAAAAAAAACTCTCTTTTCTCCCTCTTGCTATTGCTACTTTTATATTTCTTTTTTCTCCATCATCCCTATCATTCGTTCTTCTCCATCATTTCTATCATTTATACTTCTCTATCATTTTCATCATTTGTGTTCCCATACCACATGTTTTCTGTGCTGCTATCTTTGTACCATCTTATCAATCTTTCATTGTTACTACATCAGTCTCAAAGTTTGTATTACACAAATATAATAATATGCTCTATCTGTAAGTAGGTTACAACTAATACAATTGATTTAACTAGCCTATCACAAAATAGATAATAAATATAATAAATAATAATAATCATCAAATATAATCAATTAATTATGAAGGCACAGTGAGTAAGGTGGAATAAAAGCAATTAATACAATATCAAATAATATTTAATAATATTTTGCAATATTGCAACATAAGATATAAATTTATTAAAATATAAAATATAAAGTTTTTAAAAGTAAAGTATAATTCAGTAACAGAAATATTATCATGTATTAGTATATCCATTTTACCATTCTTGAAGTAAGTTTACTTTTCTATTTAATAATAATTAAAATATTTTGAATTATTTTGTAATATTAAGTATTAATTAATAAACTAATCAATATAATCTCTACTTCTTAAACTTACATCTGACATCAGTCATATTTATACTTTCTCTTTTGTTTACACTTCATCCTTCATCTTTATTTTATTCTTTATCCTTTGTACTTCATTCTTCATCTTTTGTGTATCACCTTTCATTCTTCATCCTTTATCTTTGTACTTCATTATTTATCCTTGTACAGAACATCGCATCTGGGATAACAATTACCTAAATATTTATCTAGTGTTACAAATTATTATTTTCTGCAACATTTCATCTGATTACTAATTTGTATCACCACAGTATAAATGAAAGAAAAATATCAAATCAAATATGAGTACAAGGAAAAATGAAGCAAACACTCTAATATAGGATCTCTAAAATATTTTTTGTATAAGAAATAATACAAGAATTCTATCTTTTTTTGAAGGAAACCATGATCCCATGAAATAGTTGAAAAAATTTAATTGATCTATGAGAATAAACCAATATACTGATGAATACAAATTCCAAGTAGTCAGTGAATATCTACAGGATACAGCAAGACAATAGTTTAATGAAGTTTAAGAAGGACAGATTTCAACCTTGAAATAATAGAAACCAAATCTCTTTTGAAATATCTTTCTTGACCACTTTTCAAATAACTACATTAATAAATCAATGGAGATTCAAATTACAAGTGAAAGTATAAAAATTAGATGAAAGTGTAAAGCAATATTCAAATAATATCAAGAAATTAATTAAACAAATAAATAGTAATAATAGATAGAGTGAAAATAAAAAAGTTTGTGCAGTTTTTGAAAGGATTACAAAAAGATATTGCTTATTAAGTCTAACTATTTATTATATCTCAAGAGAAGTCAACCTTGAAAAGGGCAATTCGAACAGTTAAGCAATTTGAAGAAAATGCTCAAATTTATTTTAAAGTTATAGCTGGATATACTATTGTGATGATCCAAATTGGTAATCAGGTGAAATATTATGGGGGATGATAATTTGTGTCACTAGATAAACATTCAGGTAATTGTTATCTCACGTGAAATAACCGTATGAGGACAAAGGATGAAGTACGAAAATACTGTACGAGGATGAAGGATGACTGTACCAGGATGAAGGATGAAGTACAAAGATGAGAAAGATGAAGTGAAAACAAAAGAGAAAGTATAAATATGATGGTTATCAGGTGTAAGTTTGAAGAAAAGTGATTAGAATTCATTAATAGTTATAAGTTAATTAATTATTACTTAATATTATAAAATATATTGAAATATTTTAATTATTATTAGATAGAAAAATAAACTTATTTCAGGAACAGTAAAATAGACATCCTAACACATGATAATATTTCTGTCATTGAATTATACTTTACTTTTAAAACTTTATATTTTATATTTTAATAAACTTATATTTCGTGCCATAATATTGTGAAATATTATTAAATATTGTTTGATACTGTGTTAACTACTTTTACTCCACCTTACTCACTGTGCCTTCATGATTAATTGATTAATTATTTGATTATTATTATTATTTATTATATATTTATTATCTGTTTCGAGATAGGCCAGTTAAATTGATTGTATTAGCTGTGATCTACTGGCAGATAGAGCATATTATTATGTTTGTGTAATGCAAACTTTGAGACTAATTTAAGAAATTGTTCAAAATACTCTGCACAGTGGTAACACTATGAAGGTTGATTGCTATTCATTGAGTTAAAGAAAGTGATGGAGTCTCTATCTTCTTTCAAGTTTATTGGCTCAGGAATAATTGTATTTTCTTTTGATTTTATCTTTTTTTGATTATGATGCTCCAACTAGAGGTTTCTTGGATGTCCTCTAAAGGGTTTGTAAAAAGTTCAAGTCCAGAGTTAAAGTCTTCTTGGACAATAGTTGTATCTTTTTGTTTGCCTTTGTCCTTGAGATTATTTGATTCATCAGTAACTAGGAGTTGGTTAGCTGTTCCAGACATATCCATTATATCATTAATGTTTTTCATAGTGTTATTAGCTTTGGTATACTGTTTTTTAGAATTTCTAGGAATAATTTTAATAGAGTCTACATGTTGATTCTTGGTAATTGTAAATAGAATTTTTGAAGAGTAGTTAACACATACTCTCTGTGATCTAAAAGATAAACTTTCGTTCAATGTGTTTTAAAGTTTTAGTTACAAATAGAAATAAAAAATAAAAAATAAAAAACTATTTTCAAGTATTTACTGTGTATTTTTAATAATAAACTTGATAGATAGAAAGAATTTTTTTTTCATTTTTTTATGTCATCATAATTATATTAAATTAAATAAATAATATATATATGTATATACAATCTATATTAAATATAATTATACATTATTAAATTAGTAAATATACTAATTCATTATTTTGTTCTGTAATTATTTTATATTTATTATATTTTATAGTTTTTATTTTAATGAGAAATTTTTTCTTTTTGATATTTTTTTTTGTTTGAACAATAAATAAAATTTTAAAATTTATTTTTTATTATAAATTTCAAGATAAAATTTTTTTAATACAATATTATGTGTATAGATACTTTATTTGCCATAAAAATTGTTGTTCCCTATTAATATCTTAATATTACAGTAAGACTAGGCTTGTGAAAGAATTATGTAAAGTTGACCATATGTGAAAACATACTCAGGTAAATAAATTTTCATATTTAGTATAGTTTGATCTTGAGATTTGTTAATCATTAGAGTGAAAGCAAGTTTGACTGGAATTATTTTTATCTTAGTATAAACAGAAAATTTAATGTTACTCAAAGAAATAAATAATATTGTAGTATCATAAAAATATCTGCAGCTATTGAGGGTGACAAGCAGAGATGGCAGTAGTACTAAGATAGGTGTGTACTACTATTTAGATAAAGTACAAAGTTGACTATTTATTCTCCCTTGTGTAATACCTCGAAAAGAAAATATGTTATAAATAGCAACTGAAGGTAAAGATAAATAAAAAGAAAGATATATAAAGAAGTAGTAATCACGCAGTCATAGAGAAGACCTTCAGAAGTGAAAAACAAAGAATTTTCTTCTACATTTTTTTTATTACAATAAAAATTCTATTATAATATCTACTTATAACATTAATGATAGTAATAATTTTGTAGTGTTTTGAATTAATACTAGTAATAATTTTTATAATATTAGTATAGAAGATTAGTAGAAGTTATAAACACAACATCTTATAATATTTCTACTATTAAGTTTCTATAATAAAATTTATCTACTTGAATAATAAACTCATTTATATTACTTAAATAAATTTACATCAGTAAGCCTACTCTAATTTAAAAGTATTCAAGTAATTGGTGAAGATACTTCTACTTTCATTACTTATCATATCTCTCAGATCACACTATCATTATAATCGTTTGAGTTATTATCTGTACTAAAGACTAATTCTACTAACAGATAACATATTATAGAAAGAGATAAATGGAAAATCTTTGAGTAATGACAATTTTGAATCAAGTAGACTGATTAGTATAATATTTTATTTTATTTTATTTTATTTTATATAATTTTGGTACTTCCTATAAGATGGACATAAGATATTTTTTCACAACATATAAACTTGTCAAGAGAAAAACTCTTTCTGACGATCATTTTGCCAGAACCTTTCAAGGAAGAGAAAAATATAAAAAACACTACAAACAAATAATACAAACAACAACAAAACATGAACAAGGAAAAGTAGGGTGAACGTACACGTCCCAGATGAACCACAGCAAACTATGGAACTAAAAAGAAACATGAAACAATAAGCATCAGCAAGAAAGGTGGAGAAGCAGTTCGC